AGATTGCGAAACATCGGTTGCGAGAACAGCGGAAACGCCGCCGCCAACACACTTCGCAGGAAAGTATTCGAAGCCGTCGCCGACGCCGCATAGGGCCCATATGTATCAACGAGGAAATTTATACACTGGCCAAAGATAATGCAAAACCCACAGCCGAACACCATTGCCGCCACAACCGGCAATCCCCACGAATACTTCGGCTCAGCCGTCCACCCAAACCAGAACAGACCACCGGCGAACAAGAACCCGCCAACAGCCATGGGCATCAGACGCGCCTCGGGCACAGGCTTGCCGCCACCTTCCTCCCACTTGCGGATGTAGTATGGCTGGCCGATGAAGATGATGAACGCCGACGAGAGCAGAACACCGACGAACAGACCGATGAATGGCAGCGTAGCAACAACGGGCTTCCATTGGCGGATATCATCAAAAACAATCGGAAATACCTCAAGGGTGAGATACAGCAACGCATACGTAAACGACGCATACAGCGCGATCACTGTGACCATCGGCTCGGTGACAAGCATGACCAGCGGACGCGAGAAATGCTTCGTGACGATACTATGCACGTCCACCTTGATGTGTTCGTGCGGGTGGTATAGATCCTCATTCCCGGTCTCCTTGCGCATACGCACCGCCTTGCGGTGTAGCAGCACGGGGCCGTATACCTCCGGCAGACAGAAGAAGGTGATGCCGAAGATGAAGAACACGATGATAGCCTCGATGTACTCAGTCCAGCGCCACCCTAAGTGAGGGTTCGAGACGAGCGCGGCGCCAATTATAGGCCCCATGGTTGGGCCGCCGACGACGCAAATGGCGTACGAGGTGCTGGCGATGCCGCGCGCCTTCATGTGGAAGATGTCGCCGAGAGCAGCGGAGACATTACTAACTGGTGCGGAGCCGAATAGACCCGCGAAGTACCGGGTGATGAGAACTGAAGCTGTGTTTTTGCTGGTTGCGGTGCCGATGCTGAATAGTCCGAGGACGAATACGGCCGGCAGCATCGACCACCGCCGGCCGAAGAGTTCGGAAATGGGTGCCCAGCATAGAGGACCGAAGGCGAAGCCAAGACTGTTATGCTCGTTAGTAGCTGTTGGAAGAAAGCTTATACCGGGATTGAATTCAATGATTGGGATATGTTACATACATATAAAGGGACACCGGAAGAATACTAACTTCCGTCCCAATGTTCAAATAAGCCTTAAGCTCGGTCTCCGCCGGAGAGATAATACTCGATCCTAGACTGGCGCTCAACGCCAATAATCCTAGCTGAAACGTGATCCAGCATTTGTACGCCGTCGAAAAGTTATGTGGGTTCTCGGGGTCGTTTTCCTCCCATTTCACTAGGTTAGGATCTGGGCCGCTGCCTGCATGTTCGACCTTGCCCTTTTCAGCATCTGCTGGTCGAGATGATGCTGGTAGCGGCGGTGGTGGAACGACAGTCATTTCTGGGCTGAGATAAAGGCTGAGATGCTAAGGCTGCAACGCACCCTTATTATCCTTCTGGGCTTCCGATATTTTCTCCCATTTGGTGTTGTTTCGAGGGGGTGACGAAATTCCTACACTTTTTTTTCTCTGATTCGCCGCTTCGGGGGTTCGGCATGTTGTCCGGTAGTTTTTCTCCGATATGCACGGGGGTGGCGTCGGATGGTCCGAACGGAGGGTCCGACGGTTGGGGGGTGGTTTAAAGGGTGGATGGGTTTGGCTGGGATGGTGCCGAGTGAGTGCTAGGTGTAGTGATAAGTGGGGAGTTTGGCACGACTTTTAGTGGTCTTGCTGCAAATGCCGAGTCCTCTTTGCATGCCTCCTGGCTGTTTTCGGTGGACTCGGATATAACATGTTTCGGAGTTAACGGGCGAACATTCTCCGTTTGTAAGCTGTACCCACTCTTTGTCTTGGTGTCAAGGTCTTATAACTTTCAAGGAATTCTAGGCGATTTCTAGCATGTTAAAGTTAGCTGCGAAGGAGATTGATTGGTATTTGAAGCTGAAGGAAGATCCAGGTGGCTGAGAGTGTTCTACACTATGAACTCTATGTGATATAAGTGGACTATCTTGCCCATCTGACTTGCATACGGTATAGCATCCGTGCAAATGTTGTGAAAATTACTAACTGATATGGCCTTCAAAGTTTGATAATGTTTTACTGACTGGAAATTCTCCAGATAAGCTCAAACCTAAAGCCCAATAAAGCGTTGCTGATGCCGAAAGAACCGGTGAGGATTTCTTGCGGTAGAACACGAGCAAGGCAAAAGAATAAGTGACGCACGGGGGATGAGTTGAACTCCTTCGTCATAGAGCCTGCGTTGCCTTTATGACATACGGCATTGAAATTGGCATGGCCTGATCTCTTGATGGAAAACGTGTATGACACCATGTATATACATCGTTTCCACAACTCTTCATCTCAAGCAGACTCCTCTTCATCAACTCTCTCCCCACTCTCAACCTGACCAAACCCTTGCTGTTTCTGCATCCTCCGCATCAACTCCGCCGCCTCAAATGTATACTTGCACTTCATCCTCAGCAACTCACCATAGCGATACATGACAATCGGAAACGGGATACAAGCCACGGTCAGAAACCCCGGCACACAAGAAGCCCAATGAATCCCCAGATTATGGTACATCTGATTCGTGAACAAGGGAAACACAGCTCCACCGGCCGACCGAACAATAGCCAACGCCGCCAGCGCAGTCGCCGCATAGATAGTATACGAATCGACGAGGTAATTCGTGATCGACAAGCTCATAAGGATGCACCCGAAACCAAACGGCGCCGAGAGAATGATACTCGCGGACCAATGAATGCTCGGATAATTAGTCCACGCAAAGCCGAAGATACCGATCGGCAAGGCAATAGAACCCACGATGGCTGTGGGGAGGCGGGATTCCGGCGTTGCCTTGCCGGTATTGTATAGTTTCATATATCGTCTGTGGTAGTCGTAGCCAGCGTACACTAGACCTAGGATCTCTCCGATAGCAAGGCCTAGGAATGCGAGGCCGCCAATCCCTTCAGACCAGCCGCGGTCTTCGTTGTATACGATTGGCATGGCGCCCATGAACATGTAGGTCGTTCCGTAGCCTAGGGCTATGTAGATGGATGCGACGGTCACGATTGGTTCATGCATGAGGACCCATGGTCGGATTAAGGCTCTTTGGAAGACTTCGGACGGCTTCTTCTTGCCCTGGTCGCGCTCGAGGATACTAACGTGGACTTTTCCGGTGGATTTGGTTAGACGTTTCGCCTTTCGGAGTAGCAGTACTGGGCCGTATGTTTCTGGGACGAAGATGGTGCCGATGACGCCGATCACACCTACGAAGATACAGCACATCCCCTGCACCCATCGCCAGCCCACGTTCACAGAGACAAAACCGCTAATGATGGGCCCGACGAGCGGTCCTAGTAAGGGTGCGAAGGAGTAGACTATCATTGCTAGCCCTCGCTGCCCTGGAGGGAAAATGTCTGCGATAGCGCCCCCTGCGTTGACTAACGGTGATCCGCCGAACGTACCGCTGAAGAATCGTAGGACAAGTAGGGTGGTTATATTGCGGCTGACGGCGGTGCCTCCGATAAACGCCATCATGCCGATATGGGAGATTATCCAGAATATCTTTCTGCCGTAGAGTTCTGATCTGATAATTGAAGGATTTTTAATACAGGGTAGGTATATGAATGGTGAGAGAAGCTTACTGAGAAGAATTATCAGCTTGTTGTTCTATTGGATATGCATCTAAGACAAATACTCGCCAAAGGTGCCCATACTGCCGGTCCGACAGCAAACCCCAAGATAAACAGGCTTATCCCTACAGAAAAGACCTCCGTGCTGATATTGAAATCTTTGAGTATTTCATCGCTGGAGTCGGAATACACGGAAGATGTGAACGTAACGGCAAACACAGAAGAGGTTACGATAAAAGCAATGAACCACTTTCTCGAGGCCGACCAATTCATAGGGTTCTCTGCATCATCTCTTTTGAACTCCACGATGAAGGGATCTGTGCTTGTTCCTTGGCCGTTATGAGCATGGGACTGTTCAGTCCCGCCATGACGGACTCCTATCGCGACCTCTGATTTGGGAGACATGTTGATGGCCGCTGAAACAGCACACAGAAAGCGACAAAGTCAGATACATCGCCATCATCAGCTTGGCGTGAAGGTAATTAAATCTAGCAAGAGTGGCGTGGCCAGGTCATCCAAATCCCGTGTCGGCAATTAATCGCCTCTTAGATTCCGGTAATATTGATACTTGCGTCTGGTTAATCTAATCGCACTCATATGATCAACTACTTGCATGATTGTGCATACTGCAGCTGTATTCTCTGCTAGTTGGCGGCCAGATTGCGCAATAAGAAATATATTTATTACTGTAGATCATTTACCGGAATGGTACTTGATCTACGTTCTGCATCCCCCAGGGACCCAATTTCCTGCAGTCACGTTCAGCTTCAGTTTCAGCTCGCAGCTACGCACTGCACTGGTCGTCCTGCTAGGTCACTCGGTGGCGCTAGAGCGCATATCAGCGGGTTGGAAGTCAGTTGGGTTTAGAAGTCGTTTTGCAGGGTCCAAACCTTTATAGCATTTCTTTTTCTTCTTGTTTTCCTGTTTTGGACACAGTTCAGCCAGCGGCAGATGGTCGACTACCACTGACTTCACCGATGCACGACATTAACCATATCGAAACATTCTGGTATCGAAACAAGTAGATTCCATAAACGTTGAGTTTATGCGTATGCGTATGTATGTACGAAGATTGACTTTCAAACCCCATCAATCCCTGCAAAGCAGTTCGAAATGAGTCCGGGCTGTGAGTCAGCAGACAGTTTAGAAGGACGGACAACAAGGTGTGAAGAGGGGCTCAAGAACTAGCAAACAGACTCCTATAAGGGGAAATCTCTAATGTATGTGCTATGTACAAGTTGCGCCGACAAGCTAGAAAGCAGGACATTGAGGGTCCGACTGCAACAAATCAAATAGGAACCCTCTTCAGATAAGTGGTCCTCGCACCCCAATTCAAATCCCGAGTGGATCAGCCCTAGGCATGAATTTCCACCCATAGTTTGGCACTAAACTACAGAACACGGAACCCGTTAGTACAAGGTCAGCACTAGACCCTTCCCAAGACCAATCCCAACCAACATCCCTATTCACACTGCACAGCTATCACTATCTATCTCAATTTCCCCCATAAGCTATCATCCACGTAGTCACTATTTTGCTACTAGCACTCACCACCCCTAACCCTGCTCTATCCATCACTTCGTCACAACCATGTCCTCACCATTCCCATGCCTCTCTGGCACCCACTTCGGTCACATCACGATAGATGGCGTTCGAATGTACCGCCCCCATGACAAACAATCAACGACACTCTCCAGCCCGTCATAATAATCGAAGCCGGTCTGGGCAGCAGCCACAGCGAATGGGTCGTAGTGCAACGCCTCATCGCCGAACACGCCCGTGTATATACCTAGGACCGCGCATGATACGGCCTAAGCGATGTGTCTCCGCGCGAACCTACATCCCAGAACCGCGCTTATGAACTGTCCCGAATACTGGAGGTAGCAGGGATCAAGCCACCCTATGTACTAGTTGGGCAGTCATATGGCGGTGTCTTGATCCGGGAGTTTCGCATGCATACCAAGTCGAAATTGGCGGGGATGGTGATCGTTGATGCTTGGAGACAGCCTAATCCGTCACAGCGGGGATGGTTCAATTTGTTGGGTGAGGTTGTGATTGTCGTAGTTGTAAGGTTAGATATAAATCATGTATTCTGCGCAGAGAAGTATGAGAGGATTAAAGAGGATAAGAAAAGGAATGAGAATATGTTTCGTATGGAGGAGGGGTTTGTAGCAAATAGTATGGAAGAGGTTACTGCTGGATTGCCGCTGGGGTTTCAGGCGCTGGGTGATGAACGATTGAGCGTGGTGTTTGGAATTCTATCGGTGGATTCTCATTAGGGGTTTGGGATCGTAAATCGGTATAACTCTGAGGAGGTGAGGACAAATCTTCCTGCGCGGCTAGAGACTATTGAAAGAGTTGATGAGGAAATACAGAGGGCTCATCTTGGATTGTTGAGTCAGAGTCGGTTTGTCTACGCGCAGGGGAAGGTCATGACGCATAATGTGCATTATATGGCGCCGGAGCTGATTCGTGATGAACTTTTATGGGTATTGAGGCTGATGTATCGGCATTCTGATGGTTGGGACTGCTTGCTAATACGTAAGAGGAAGTAATTTTCTTTATGACCTTGTATGCTTTAGAACGTCTATAGTAAGTAATATAGTTTAAGATTTAAACGGACACATGTACAACGAAACAAACCAGATATAGACAATGGAGAACCTGAAGGGATTCTATCACACACATGGTTTCAATAACGACCCTAAACGCCATCCCATGCTCCAAATCACAGCCCAGTCTCCCATAACTCCGATGATGATATAGATGGTATCCCTCAAACAGCCGACTGACTGTCATCGGTTTTAACCCTATTATCCCTTGCCATCCAATGCAGATCTCTCAGTCTCAGCTGCCGCATATACACTCTCTGCTCTGCGGTGGGATCAAAGTCCCGCTCTAAACCGTAAAACCCATTGGTCATGAGGTAGTGCGTGGAGTAGCCGGACAGAGTCAGCATTACACAGCCGAGAATGACGAAGAAGATGACCGCCGCGTCGCCAATGTATGCCATGATTGATAATTGATCTTGGTTTTTGTTGCGTGATACTTCGGTACAGTAAAGGAGTGTTGGTGGCGGTGCTGCAGCGGGAAACGGTTAGACCATGAGAGAATATAGGCTTAGTCTGTCTTACGTTGTTTGTAAGTTGGGCTGAGTGCGTCGACTAATGAGTGGATTCTCTAAATTGAAAAATAGAATTGAAAGCACGCCGGTAGTTATTATGAGAGGCAAATGCGAAAAAAAAGAGTATTATGTGATATAAAGAGAGACAGAACGCAATTCTGGATATAAAGAGCGACAGAATCGTAGAAAAAGAAGGACTGAACTTTTAACACTATTTCTTTCCGCGTTCATCATCTCCCCCCTAACCCAGTAGTATTTATATCTCTACCACATCAAACATCACAGTTTCTACTAAAGTATCTCCAAACATTCCTTCGGGGCCAGAACGTCCAACTACTCCCGATACAGTCTAGCCTCTAGCCCTATGATGTCATTAGCGAGCTGGCCAATCATATTGTCTAATCTGAATCAGAAAAGGGCTTAGCGTTGCGAGCATGTTAGTGCTTAGTATTGCCAAGTCTAAATAAGGAAAGTCTTGATTTGCGGCGCCTGACTGAGAGGATCCGAGATGGAGGTTAGACCAGACTAACTTTCAGTTTCTGATTGGTGAGATCCGTGTCACAGTTCTGGCATCTGGATAAGAATAGACGGAAGGATGAATAGCTAACGCCGGGATTGAAGCCGAGTTTAGATTCGGATATCTAAATTCCTAGATGGGTAGTTGTGTACCCGGGGTACCTTGGACGGTGGATCTAAAGGACCCCTTTTCCATTGATCTTATTACTACAGTGAAGTTGATACTGGAATGACAACTGTCCTCTCTGTAAGACACACAGGATAACGAAGTTTCTCTCACTGACAGTTAATCTGGGAATATTGCCACGATTGTCAACAATTGTCTTGCTCCTTTCAGCTATCCGTGCATTTCGTCGTTTCATTTCCGATACTATATCCACCTCGTGGACTTAGCCCTAACTGATTATATGAGCTGTCGACGCACTACTCGCTAGACTAAAAACAGTTTATCGCATCTGTCCAGCCAGGTGACAGACATATATGTATCCCAGCATAAGTTACTTACAAAAAGCAAATAGCAATACTGATGAAAGCGTAAAATTGTCAATCTTTATCAATCAAGCACAACTTTTGCCCCCCACCCCCAACTCCATCAAAACTTACTCGTATCGCACACCCCCTGTCACTCTAATATCCCTCCTCATCAACACTATACTCACGATACACAGTCAAACTAAATCTCGCAAACGCACTTCTAGCTCTAATCCCCCTCCCGTACCTCGAAAACAAAGGCGGCACAATACAAAACACTGTCGCAACCGCCGCCAACACCGAAACACTAAAATTGGCCCCGAGCCGATCCAACATAGGCTCCGAGATCAGCGGTAACGCAGCGGACAACAACGCCCTCACCAGACTCAACGCCGCCAGGCCACTCGCCGCATAGCTGAGATAATTATCCGTCAGATACCCGCCGAGCACATAGTCCATCTCATTAAGACTATATCCAGCCAGCACGAGAGCCGCGACCGACACAAGCCAAGGGAGATTCGTGACAGCGGGCGGGATGGTCCAGGCGAAAAGCCACAATGCCGCAGCGAGAATGGGCGCACCGATCCAGAATCCTGTCAGTTTGTCTTCTGGGAGCAGTGGTCGGCCCTGAGCTCGGTGGTGAGTAATGATGCGGAGGTCGAGACAGCGGGTGAGGAGGCCGAGGGCGAGGCCTAAGCCAATGGCGATGAAGGGGAGGCAGGCTTGCTTTGGGGTGAAGCCGAAAGATTCGTAGATGAGCGGTAGAGCTTCGGTGAAGAGGTAAACTATGGCTATGGCGACGGCGCTAATAATGGAGACGGTGGAGACGATAAGTTCGGTGAAGAGGAGCCGGATAGGGCGGAAGAGCGCGATGCGGACGAAGCTGCGCATGTCGGGGGCTTTGTCGGGGTTGAGGCCTTCCAAGGTGTTGATTTTGGTGACTTTGCGGAGAGTAGCGACTTCACGGGCGAGGAGGAGAGAGGGACGCGATTCATTCAAAGTGAGTAGTAGCAGGGTCAGGATTCCGGTTACCATGGCTGCAATGTAGAATAGCCATCTCCTGATGGGGTGTTAGCCACAATATCGGCATATGCTGGGGAAGGGTGGGTTTGTACCAGTGGGTGTAGGCCACGACAAAGGTACTGAGAATGGGTCCTACAACGAGGCCCAGGTTGGCGAACATGGTCCAAATGCAGATGACCCAGACTCGCTCGCGGGAGTTGAAGGTGTCTTCGATGCTACCCACTACAACAGTCGTTGGAATGGCGGACAGAAAGCCACAGAGACATCGGCCAATCGCTACTCCTATCGATGATGGCACGGACGCAATTAAGATGCATGATAGGCCATAGAGGGCCGAGCTTGCCACATAGAGCTTTTTTCGACCAAATACTTCAGAGTAAGGGGGGAACACGATACCCCCGATGGCTTGGCCGATAAGATATCTGAGAAGTCAGCCTGGTAGTACTGGAGGAAGCAAGTGAGTACTAACACAGAAACGAAGAGAAAAATTGACAGGGTTCTTGAAATTTTGAAGTCGTGCATAGCATTATTGGCCGCAGTTGACTATATGTTCAGCAAATGTACATCATTCATAGCAGTTTGATTACCCACGCCGGCGGTGCTGATAGCAGTTCTGGAATAATCAGCCTCGGTATAATAAAAATCAGGGGGCGTCATACGTGAAGAATTCCAGGAATATAATAAGCGTAGTATCATAGACCTTGCGTCGCAAGCTCCAGTTTCGCGGGTGTCGACAATTTCCCAGAGCCCACTGTATATGGACCCCGTCCGGGGCGAGCTTGAGGCCATACTGGGGCAGCAGCGCCAGAAGCGTTTCCTTTATGCTCTCCACAGGGGCCGTGATAACCCGGGAGACGGTTTTCATTGTAAGAATCTGGAAAGACCTCGAGCACACTGATCCCTATACTGCCGGACTTGGGGTGTAGCTATATACAAGAGCCTGTCTTCAGTATGAGCTCCTAGGAGCACGAAATCTGAAGTAGTACACATTATCTAGCAAATAGAAGAGACCAATAACAAACGAATTGTGACAGGGTTACACAGTCACCGGCTCATTATGGCGATAGGCCTGATCTGTCCGGGGAAGCAGTTGATCTCCTTGATCTAGATTCAGTCTGGATGTCGCCAGTGAAGGTCAATTGGTAGAAGCCTATCATACTCATAATGCTGCAGCGGTCTGTAAAATTGTTTTTCTTAGTTGAAAGCACAGGTTGTCTGTGCGGTATAGCACTCCGTGGTCTGTGTCTGCCTTCGGTCCGGTACCACGTCGGGAGGTAAAGGGCAGCGGCATTTCGCATGTGCCAAACTTTCACGCATCCAATAGATGAGCTTGGCCCAGCATCTGGGGATCGGCTGGATAAAGTCTCAAGCACAGTCTGTTTGCGGTATCGGCAAAAGTCGAACTGCGGATATTACAAGAATGAAATAGGCGTTCCCAGACACACTTTATTTCGCATATAAACTAGTCTACTTCCCGACCCACTATTCTAAACCATGTCTGCTCGTATCACGCATCTAGTCCTCATCTCCATCATTATCACCTCCATTTGACACGCCGCTGTTTCCGTTGTAGGCCAGTAGATTGGGGCTACCGGCAACATTGGTGACAGCATTCCGCGTGGCCAGTCTCTTGAGCTCAGCCGTTGCGGCCGCTGGGGTAGCCAGGTTCCGCAAGCCCATCAGATAAATGACCAAACCTGTCACATGAGGCGTGGCCATGGACGTACCGGAGATGGTGTTGGTAGCCGAGTTGGAACCGATCCACGCAGAAAGGACTTGCTCTCCCGGAGCAAAGATGTCAACTACGGAACCATAGTTTGAAAATGACGCACGGGCATTGCTTCTGCTAATAGCGGCAACAGTGACGGCGTTGGGTGCAGAAGCCGGGCTAGTCCGTGCTGCATCTCTCTGCAAGGCATCAGTGAAATTTTCTCCGAAGCTTGGACAGTCTAACAGAGCGTACATTGTCATTTCCAGCGGCAACACATGAGAGTACACCCTCGTCAAAAGCATTCTCAACTGCATTATTGAAAGCATAGGAGTACCCCCCACCTACATCATGGTTAGCAACATTCAGCCACCAGGGAGGGCGGCATTACCAAGACTCATATTGATCGCTGCCTTGCTGGTCCGATTCTTGCTCACGATATCATTGGCTGCCCAATTGAAGCCATCCAGAATGACCGATGTCGAGCTTGATTCACCCACAAACACCTTCACGGATAGTAGGTGAGCGTTTTTCGAAACACCGTATGTTTGGCCGCCAATGGTCCCTGCTACATGTGTGCCATGTCCGACACCATCAACATGTTCACCCCCTGCAGCATTGTATGCCAGGCTAGCACGACCACCAAACTCATTATGTGTAGCCAAGATGCCGGTATCCACCACATAGGCATAGGTACCTTCGCCAGCGCTGTCATCATAGATGTAATCGGTGCTAGGCGCACCCCGGTGCGAGATACTACCCAGTCCCCAAGGAGCTCGTCCTTCGGTAACTAGCGTATCGAGGTACCATACCTGATCTTGTTCCACGTAAGCCACCTGTACGCCAATTAGCTTAGGCTTCACGGCCTCGGACAGTTAGGCACAAACATGGTCATGTTTGCGGATCTCCTCGATAGTCTTTTCATCAAAAGACCCCGCGTACCCAGCAAAATTGGCAATTCTGTATGTTCTTTCGATGCCGGCAGGAAGGTCATCGTCGGGTGTACTGCGGCCTTCTATGCTGCGTCTGTGGAGCTCCGTTACCCATGCGGAATGGGACTCAATTTTCGCGTTGTCAATGCCGGACTTGAAAGTGACAATGTACTTTCCTGGGATGGTCTGGATGGTCGGATGAGGGACCTGCTCTGTGGCACTGAATACTGCAGGCAAAAGCAGGGCGAGCAGCGGGAGAATGCGTCTGAGGAAAGCCATGTTGAGTGAGTGGCTGCCGAAAGAGGAGAACTGTCAATGATAGACTTGAATGCTTGAATTCAGTAGTGCAATGGATAGATCTTTTATAGTCTCACAACGAAGTCTAAGTCCTGTTGACTAGGCCACGGTTTCAGTCACATTCACCTTTTGTTGATCGTCATCAAGTGGGCACCTGGTCAGAAGGCACTTGGTCAGTATATTTAAAACTCAGTCAGATGGTCACATTGCATCTTCGGACTACTGGGCTATGCCCCGTGAGGAGAATCATGCATGCACGGAATACAGATAGCATGCAGGGATGAGATTACGGACACATTCCGTTTCGGGGGCAGCTTGGCCAGCTGTCCATTAGCTTCTCTATGGGCTGTTCTACTTGCTCGACGTTAGATTCAATGTACTAATTCTTATGACACAACACATGGTAGGAAGACCTATTTCCAGGTTCTAAACAGCGGCTCTACACTGCAAGAAGCCTTCATAGAAATAAAGGTCACTCAAAGAGACGTGTACAGGCGAGGGATGGTGAACAGACTGTTCGCCAGCCAATGTAACCCACCAATACTTGGCATCTGCACGCAATATCATCTGGGGTTGTGCAGCTCCTACATCATGTAGATCCTACCCCAGCGACTGGAAGAATTGTGAGGGATATTTACAACCCTACTGTAGGGGGCGGGCATATGTGGGTGACTGAAAGGAGTGTATTATTACCCAGTGTTACACGGCGTTTGGGCACAAAAATAACCTCTGATTAAACTGTAAATGCAGATATATTAGTGGTTCAACAGCTCTTGGCATCGTCGAAAGGGACTTATATCCGAAGGTTTTGCAACAAATGCCTTCTGCCCCTCATATGGCTCCAGACGGTATCGGTTCCACTGAGGCACCATATGAGTTGCACATGCCTAGAAGGCCTTCTGATACACTCATATCAGAATATTAAAATGTTAATATTCTGGCTGATGAGATAATTAAGATACCAGCGGGTTAGGAGATAATCACAATCCGTCGTAAACCACACCCGGTCCGGGGAATCTATATCTGCGCCGCCCGGTTGAGGTCCGGTTAACAAGCTAGGTATATGCGGGGCCAAGCGATGTCATGCTGTCCACTATGGGGGGCCCAAAGTGCTGGGGCCCATGGATGCAGAGACGTGGGACGCACCTCCCCTGCATTTGCGACATTTGGAATCCGTCCAACATCACGGGGTCGACCGTCAGGCTCCGAATGATCATTGGTAATGTCTCTCCGTGGTGTGCAGCACAGACTGTCACGACCACCTACCAGCTTGCTTCTCTCCTGCGAGTCATCTTCCATTCAAGCTACCTTGGCGTGTCCGGTGACGGCGGGAAAGGGGCTGTCTGACAGACTGCATATATCTTTCTAAATGACTGTTGCATTGAGAGATGGCTGGTGGCGCCGTGGCCGGGAGAGTCTCTGGGAGTTGCTTTGTTTGACACAGGAGCGTGTTGGGTAGAAGAAGGAAATGTGGTGGGAGGTTGACGTTGCAAGCGTGTTCCTTGGCTGGGGTCTTGACGTTGCAAGCGTGTTCCTTGGCTGGGGTCTTGACGTTGCAGGCGTGTTCCTTGGCTGGGGTCTCGTTTCACAGGTCCCGTGATGTTGTGTTGCTATCACCCATATCATCCCCTTAAAAAGAGAAGAATTCGCTAGCGGTAAGCTATGGGTTTCCATGTACGTGAGTGGTTATCTACGCTAGCAAATAGATCGCTGATCTTATCAAGTCTGAGACTAGATATGTTGAGGTACAGCACGAGGGGAGGATGCTGTACTGAACAACAAAGATCGAAGTTGCTAAGCGTTCATTTTGGTGCTTCCACGCTCTCACTGAAAGCGTTTGTTATTTGGCATCCGAGGAAGATATCGAATGTATCTCAAATTAAACTGGACCAAAGCAATGATGATTGATGTGAGTGGTAAACTACGTTCCGCCGTATAGCTGTCAAAGCAAAGCGAGATAGCCCTGCACTTATATACTCAAAGAATTAATAGGATTCTTTCAGCCCCAGGATGTCTATCAAGTCTGCCCATTTTACACATCTAATTCGGAAAGGGTATAGTGAATGCTGACAACAAGCGGCTCCGGAGTACGTATTTATCCGATAATCAACCTTGTTAATGGGCGGTCAGTCTCTGCCACAATATGCCTTCACCGTCGTAAAAGGGCAATCGGGCCGAGTTCCCAATTCGATCGTCGCAAACAACCAGATTCCAAGAAGAGGCCCAAGCATTGATCGCCAGATCTTCCTTATCTTTTGACATTGAGCTTCTCTTGCGCTTACTCATATATGATTTGCCTTGTTCCGCCATTCACCTACCCTTCGATTCTATAGTGCCTGATTCCTCGAAGATGAAACGTAGTGTGACCTGGTCTTTCAGTTGCAGATATATATTCCAAATGTTGGATATGCGCGCCATCCACTACCGTATATACTACTACTTTTTTCATAACTACAACTCCTCTCACTCATGTTATTAGACTCTACCATGAACTACAGAGGCTTGCTCAGTATTGAGTTATTACCAATCCCCTAGGAGGATGTTGAGTCTATGATATAGCGCTCCGGCAGGATGACCATCCCTGTTAGGCCGGGCGCAGCCACAAGTCGCCAGACTTAACGGCATCTCCGCCAGCTCCCACGTCATCTCTCCCGCTTATGCACCACCTCAACGAAGAGGCAACACACCTTATCCAACCACTTCGTCAAGTTCCATCGTGGTCTGGGTGACGCAGTGTATATTTCTCACCAAGCTAGCCATGACCACTTCTAAAAGTGGCTTCGTCATAGGCGCACTCACGGTGGCCATAGCACTCTTCGCCATATACCTCTCACCACTTACTGATGTTCTTGTTGAACATATCACTGGTTACCACCGACTCGTCTTTTCGAAAACACCCGTCTCACCACCCAGAGCTTACGACATTCATCATGACATCGAATATATTGGCAGTCTGTCAAATGGTGTAGAACATTTCCAAAACATCTTTTATGCGGAGGAGCCGACTGGTCTCCGACGCTTCGCTCCTCCTGTTCCCGTCCGCCCGTCGAAAGGGTCCGTGATCGATGCATCCCAGCCTGGAGCGTGGTGCCCCCAAGGTACAGGAGATATCCTGCCTTTCACGAGTAGAGTGTCTAATACCAGCGAGAATTGCCTAAGCTTGAGGGTTGCTCGCCCAACTGGTATCAAAGTGCAGGATAGACTTCCTGTTGTGGTGTGGTTGCATGGAGGTAAGTAGATTCATACTCTACTGATTTTTAAATCGAGACTGATTATGATAATGCGTAGGTGGCCATGCTCTGGGTTCTGCTTCTGACATCCTTTACAACCCGGAAGGGCTACTTCAGGGGGCCGTGGCGGCGGGGAAGCCGTTAATATATGTCGGGATAAACTACCGATTAGGATGTAAGACATATACACTGTGCGCACATGTAGATGTTGTTGACAGCCTCAAGTCTTTGGATTTGCGACCAGTAGGGCCATGGTTGAGAAGAAGCATACGAATGCCGGACTGCGGGATCAGCGCGCTGCATTGGAATGTACGTGGACTCGTTTATGCACTACGAAATCCTTGCTGACCCAATGACCAGGGGTTCGAGACAACATCGAAGCATTTGGGGGCAACCCCAGCAGAGGTACAAACAACTGAATCATGTCATAAAACAGGCACGGGCAGCTAACGCATCTATAGTAACTGCCATCGGGCAGAGCGTCGGAGCCAGTGACATCGGCTTGCACTTGACATCTTTCAATGGCACCAAAGGTGTTCCGTTCCAACGAGCCATGTAAGTTCACTAATGTAAATCTGCCTTCTTCCAGTTATCTAACATACAAAGCATGATGTCTGGCGCCCCGGGTCTCAACTTCAACAGTGACTCAACTTTGGTATCCGAGAACACCGCAAATATCGCGCGTGAGGTTGGTTGCGTCACCACCGACGACGCCGAATCATCTGAGGCCCTTGCATGTCTTCGACGTATCCCCGTCGACACTCTCACAAATCTCTCCGTTACGGCGTCACGTGCAGCTCGCCCCCCATTTGGAGAAGGGTTCTTTTATCCGACCATTGATGGAGACGTTCTCCCCGCCCGACCCTCTGAGCTCCTACGTGCTGGCAAGTTCGTCAAAGATATCCCTATAATTGCTTCGTGGGTGACCAACGATGGAGCCTGGTATGCCCTACCAATAACATCCACCGACGATGAAGTGCTTGCTAGCTTCGGATTATGGTTGACGAAGCTCTCCCCTTCCACAAAAGAAAGACTTCTAGATTTATATCCGGTCACAGAGTTCGCGCATATGGTCCGCGAAAGCTACGATGGCCCTATATCACCCCAGTACTACCGCGCCGCGCAAATAAATCGTAATATTTGGTTTACCTGTCCAGTGCTTGATTTTGCATGGCAGTACGCTCAGAGAGGATGGACTACCACATCTAAAATATGGCTCTACGAGCATAATGCGACCAGATACGCGCCAGTATTCGAAATGATGGGCGTACCGATGTGGCGCGTTGCTCATCTCAGTGATATTCCCTATGTCATGAACAATGCTAACCTGGAGGGTGGGGCTAATAACTCCCCGGAACAAATGGAGTTGGCACGGGAGGTGAGCAGACAGGTGATTGGGTTTGCGCATGATGCGAGTCCTAGTGACACATGGCCTGCTGCATTCTCGGGGATCAGTGAGCAGGGACTTTCCAAGGATACGCCTGATCAGCTGTCGATTCAGGTTTTCGGGGGTTCTATGGGCTCGGGGGCGGTCAGAGTCAGCAAAGACGCGGATGCAGGAGGATCTACAGAAGCAGAGAAGGCAGTGTTATGGGAAAGGCTGTTTGACCGGTGCGAATTCATCAATAGTGCGCAGATGCGAGCGGAGGCTGGAGTATAGTTTTACCTGCGGGATTTCAATGCTAATCTATGCCTGTCATGAGAGGATTGTGGAAAGTATAGGTTATGGGAGCAATAATATTTAGATGTGCATGCGCAGATGTTCTAATGCTCTATCATCATCTCCTCCCTGCCTCTTGCTTTGTTATGGTGTGAAAGGAAAACCCCTCTTTCTATATGACATGAGTGGATATATTGGGGTCATTTAGGTAATAGTCAAGGGGGCACATCCCGGGGGAAAGTCGCTGGAAATCAACCCTTGTAAATGCTCACGACAATTCGAGATTTATACCGTCTTCACGATCAATGTGCTGCTGATCTGACTATTTTGCACACGGAAGCTCCAGATCAACTTGCCAGACCGGGTGCATTGCGGGGCCGTCACCTGCCATATTGCTAGCCTCAAAGGCTGCATTTATGAAGAGTGTCTGATGGTCCGGTTTCAATGGAATCGCATCATCCGTACAATGACTCGTTTCTACAACAGCCGGTGATGTCTCAGGATCAAGTCTTGACAGTTTTGTGACAACACTCGACCGTCCATAGTCGATAGCCGTAAAGTGGGAAGGTTCATTC